TAAAATGGTTTTTAGCATTTCCAGGTCTCAGAATTGGTCATCATTGAAGACTCAAAATTCCAGAGTTCGTAAGAAAATGGTTGACAGAAACTTTCTAGGGAAGCCTGAGCCTTTACCTTATTTGAGGGGTCCCAGCAGAAAAGTTGGGAAAAATTAAATATCCAGATCAACCTGAGCAGGAAAAATGTCACCCTGTGCCCTCCTCAAGTTCAACAGTCCAAAATAACCTAAACATCTTCACTGGGTGTCTCCCCACCACCTGGCTGCCAACAAGGCATTTCTTCTCACCTTATCAAATTCAGGAGGTGGACTCTTTCCTCTGCACAGGTTGGACAAGGCCCAGACAGCATTTCGTGTCATTGTCAGCCTGGTGGATGTGGTGAGGAGCCTGAACAGAGAATTACCAGGGGTTATTGTCCTTGATGTGTAAGCAGAGGGAACCAAAAGAATTAAAACATTTAGTTCCAATTCCAATTCAGCCCAGCCATCAGCAGAAACCAAGTGATACAAACTGCTCAGTCTGAGCTCAGGGTGAGTCCTGTGGGGTGAGGGGTCAGGCTGAGCCCTGGCTGACACCAGAAGCAGCAAAATCAGCCATCTGGGACAAAGCCACACTTTTCCAGGGTGGGATGAAGATCAATTCTTGCCAGGAAAACAAGAGCCCAGGCCTGACAGATCCACGTTATCACAATGCTAAGGGAGGTGGTGTGAGAGAGTTGACTCCGATCCCAACAAATCCCCAGCCCAAGCAGAGAGCAGGAGCTGAGGGACACCCTGTGACTCCAGAAGGAGCAGCACCCACCTCACCCCTGGAGCAGTGTGAAGGAATGTCATCCACAGATTCCCTTCTCTGCACCAGAGGTTTGATTCCCAGGGATCCCACACTGCCAGGGAATCTGTGGGTCCCTCTCCAACACTGCTGCCCTGGCACAACGGGAATCCCAGAACTCCTCATGGCTACTCACATTAATAAGGGAGGAAGAATGGCACAGTTAAGGACATAATCTCTACACACAGAGCTGTCTCCAGCAATGTTCCCCAAGGCCCAGACAGCCTGAAAGGAAACAGCAACAGTTTTAGCATCCAGTTTCTAACAGGGAGAAGCAGGCAGTGTGCTGAGAAAGCAATTTTCCTGTAATTCCAGGCAACAGTCTGTGCTCTGCAGCCAGTTGTGATCACTCAATTTAAGCACTGCATTTTTAACATGAAATTTACTCTGAAATCCCAGAGCGAGGAGTGATCCTTACCTGCTCCTGAACGTCCTCAAAGTCAGAGTTTAAGAGTTCTATAAATATGGGAACTGCCCCAGCCTCGATGACTATTTTGGTTTGTTGGGAAGTCCCCGAGGCGATGTTCGTCAGGGCCCACGCAGCCTCAAACTGAAAGGAGTGACAAATAAAATATAATAAAAGCAGCCTGATTCAGCAAAATAGTTCTCATTACATTGTGCCTACAATCCTGCTACAAAGGTTTTGTGAGAGAAAGGAAGAGAGCACCTCAATACTCAAAGGATTTTATTTTCTTGAGCAACAAAAGAGCCACAGCTGCTCAAAGGATGAGCAAGAGATGTCACCAAAATGTCATTTCTCCTCCACAACCATTTCCCAGTAAGAAAAGTGAAGGCACAGAGTGCAGAAACACACAAAATAGACATTTTTTTGTATTTCATCCAACATCCCAAAGATGCTGCGAGTTCAAGGGAAGCTGGACGGAATTTCCCTGCTTTTGCTTCTCTTTTTGTGGTTTAAAACCAGATTTCCATCCAGTTCTTCTGGAAATTAAGCCCCTCTGGCCAGAGGGCAGGGAGAAAGAGGAAAACAGTCACCAACATGGATCAAATTCCATGTATGGAAGTCTCTTTAACCCCTCCAAAGAAACCAGGACTTATTACCAAGCTGGAAGGAATCTCAGGAAGCCACCCAGGCCTTCCCTCAGCCCCAGGCAGGATCAGCACTGGCCAAACCCATTTCTAACATTTCCTGGCCTCTGTTTAAAAGCCTCCAGCAATGGAGGTTTTTCTTCCCACAGTTTCTTCCTGCAGGTTTATCCCATGGCTCCAGCAGCTCCCAGCAGAAATATCAGCTACAGGAAGGCCAAAATCTCTTCAGCTGCACCTGAATTAGGTGATTTTTGCCAGAATTTCTCCAATAATTTCATTCAGAGCAATTTACTTTTTTGCTTAAGCATTACAGACTAGTTTTGTCTTTTATAGATCACATACACTGCATTTCTGGGGTTCAAAATATCATTTTCCCCT